CTTTATATATTTTGGATACTAGCGCTATTGTATATGTCATTTGCAGCTTTAGTTCTTTTTAATACTTTTGCCCTTTCACTTCTATAAGTGATAGAATTATGTGTTTAATATACCATTATATTATAGTATTAGAGTATTCAGAGTTAGACCATATACTTACCTTTACCAGTGTGCTGGATATTTTTATATATATTTATGTTACTAATTAGCATTTCATTTCAGCTTGAAAATCTTTCTTGTTTTTTGATGTGTTTATAGCTATGAGTTTCCCATTAGTGCTGTTTTATGTGTCTAATTAATAAGTTAATTAATTTTGGTATGTTGTGTTTGTTTTAATTAATCTCTAAGTGTTTTCTACTTTCTCTTGTGATGTCTTCTTTGACCCATTGATTGTTTAAGAATATTGTGTTTATGGGGTGCCTAGGTGGCTCATTTGGTTAAGTGTCTTGATTTTGGCTCAGGTCATGAGCTCATGTTTCTTGAGTTGGAACCTGGCATCATGCTCTCTGCTGTCAGCACAGTGCCCGCTTCTGATAATCTGTGCCCCCTCTCTCTGCCCCTCTCCTGCTCGTGTTCTCTTACTCTCTTTCAAAAATAAATAAACTTAAAAAAAAAAAAGAATATGGTGTTTATCAAAAAAGTATGGTACTGGCACAGAAATGGAAACATAGATTATTGGAACAGAATAGAGAATCCAGAAATAAACCCACGCTTATATGGTCAATTAATCTCCAACAAAGGAGGCAAGAATACACAATGGGGCAAAGAAAGCCTCTTCATGGTGCTGGGAAAACTGGATAGCTACAGGCAAAAGAATGAAACCTGAACACTTTCTTTCTTTCTCTTTCTTTCTTTTTTTAATTTTAGAGAGAGGGTGCAAGTAAGCGAGGGGCAGAGAGAGGGAGAGAGAGAGAATCCAATGAGGGGTAGAGAGAGTAAAGCAGGACTCACCCAAAGCGGGGCTCCTGCTCAGGAGATATGGAGCTTCAACTCACTGATGAAAATTTAAAACTCATGAACCGTGAGATCATGACCTGAGCCGAAGTCAGATGCTTAACCGACTGAGCCACCCAGGGGCCAGAAATTGGAACACTTTCTTACCCTATACACAAAAATAAACTCAGAATGGACTTAAGACCTGAATATAAGACCTGAAATCATACAACTCCTAGAAGAAAATATAGCAATTATTTCTTTGACATTAGCCTTAGCAACATTTTTCTGGATATGTCTCAAGCAAGTGAAACAAAAGCAAAAATAAACTATTGGGGCTAAATCAAAATGAAAAGCTTTTCACAGTGAAGGAAAGAAACCATTAACAAAATGAAAAGGCAAGAGTGACTATAATTAAAAGGACTAGAAATAAAAAGTGTTGACGAGGATGTGGAGAAAAGGGAACCCTCATGCACTATTAGTGAGAATGTAAATTGATGCAACCTGGAAAACAATATGGAGGTTCTTCGAAAAATTAGAAACATTGGGGCATCTGGCTGGCTTAGATGGTAGAGCACGCAGCTCTTGATTTCAGAGTTGTGAGTTCAAGTCACATGTTGGGTATAGAGATTATACTTAAAAAATACCCAAAGTTCAAAAAATATATTAAATAAGTTATAATCCACTACTGGGTATTTATTTACCCAAAGAAAATGAAGACACTAATTTGAGAAGATATATTCACTCCTTTGTTTATTGCAACATCGTTTACAACAGCTGAGATAGGGAAGTAGCCCAAGTGTCCATCCATAGATGAATGGGTAAAGAAGATATGAGATACATATATATGGATATATGTATATATATTGCTCAGTCATAAAAAAGAATGTGATCTTGTGATCTTGCCATTTTTCAAAACATGGATAGGCCTAGATGGTATTATACTAAATGAAATAACTCAAAGAAACAAAAATAATGAATGGTTTCACTTGTATGTGGTATTTAAAAAACCAACAGCCAGAACCGTTCCATAAATACAAAGCACAGACTATGGTTGCCAGGAAGGATGGACAAATGGGTGAAGTGAGAGATACTTCCAATTATGGAACGAATAAGTCACAGGGATGAAAAGTACAGCATAGGAAATGGTATTGTAATTAGCATTGTGTGGTGACACATGGTAGGTACACTTGTGGTGAGCACAGCATAATGTATAGACTTGTCAAATCACTGTGCTGTATACCTGAAATTGATGGAACATTATGTGTCAACTATAATTTTAAAAGGAGCTGACATAAGACATTAACTTAATTTTTATAATTATCTTTGCATTTTAACATTATTAAAATAAATAATGAAAAGTCTTCATAAAAAATTTGTATTAATTTAGGTTTATCATTCATGTAACAGCATTAAAGTTAGGAAAGTGTAATGACTCAGAGGTAGGCATTTGTCTTTCAGTTTCAGTTTCAGCTGTATATTCACAGAGAAAAGGCTGTTAGCATTTTTAATTCAAATGAAATAAGGTGCACTAAGGACATCTTTTGCATCAGTTAGGATTAGGTTTGTCTGTGAGTAACAAATATGTGAAAATTAATTCCTTAAACAAGATGTAGATTTATTTCAGTCTGAAGAAAGGCAGTTTGGGGCTAGGATGGCAGCTCCAGGATATCAGGGACCCAAGCTTCTTTATTTTGTTGCTTAGCCAAGCTTAGTGTAGGGGCCCAGGCCAGGCTGCCAGACTGCCCAAGATGGGGCACTTTGGCATAAAGATTATTTTGAGTTAAAAGTAATTGAAACTTAGCAGAAGCAGGGAAAGCTCTCTGCCTCGCTGCAACTGCTAAATTTACATCCGAAAGGAGAACCTGTAACTGGAAGAGAGCTATTAACAGAGACTCCCTTTTGCCTAAGGAATTTACCTGCATAATAAGGCAACCTTGTTTTTCCAAACATCTTTCAAGTTCTTGCTAATGTTCTATCCCCTTTGTGTCCTCTGACCCTGTCCCTTTCTTTAACTCCTGTTGCCTTATTGTCTTTGGAATTTCATGTCTATGTGGATTCTCCATACAGACACCTACCAAATTTGATTTTCTCCTGATAATCTGTCTCATGTCAGTTTGACTCTAAGTCCAGCCAGAGGACCATAGGGCAGAGGAAGGTCTTCCTCCTCAAAGTTGATTTAGGTCCCCATTATCCCCTCAGAGATCAAGATGACTTTAACCATTGCATCCACATTCCCTATAGCAGAAAAGGGAAAGAGGAGACAAGAAGGGTGCAACCTCCATTTTTCTTGAAAGTACTATTCCAGATTTCTACTTACTTACTTACTGCAAAGAGGTCTTGGAAATGTAGTTTTCTTAGCTAAGTGGTAATGTATCCAGCCACTTAGCTTGAGAGAGAGAGAGAGAGAGAGAGAGAGAGAGAACGAGCGAGCAAGTGAGCAGGGGAGGGACAGAGAGAGAGGGTGACAGAATCCCAGGCAGGCTCTGCACTGTCAGTGCAAAGGCCAACCCAGGATTCAAACTCACAAACTATAAGATCAGACCTGAACCAAAATCAAGAGTCGGATGTTTAACTGACTGAGCCACCCAGGAGTCTCGTTATTCTGTTACTTATTTCTAACTTCATTCTATTGTGGTTGAGGGAGATGGATACTTTGTACGTTATCTCTCTTTTTCAAGTCTGTTGAGAATGTACAGCCTAACATATGCTCTGTCTTGGAAAATGTTCCATGTGTACTTGAGAAAAATGTATATGGTATATGGTAGAGTGTACTGTGTATGTCCTTTGATTGATACTTGTCTTGATAACAGATCCTATGTTGAAAATCATTCATTTGGGATTTTGAATGTTTTGTGCCACTTTATTCTACCAAGAATCAATTTATAAAATAGTTTATCCAGGGGCACCTGCGTGGCTCAGTCAGTTAAGCATCCGATTCTTCATTTCGGCTCAGGTCATGATCTCACAGTTCATGAGATCAAGCCCAATGTTGGGCTCTATGCTCTCAGCATGGAGCCCACTTGGAATTCTCTGTCTCCTTCACTCTCTGCCCCTCCCTTGTTTGCACACTCTCTCTTTTTTTCTCTCAAAATAAATAAACATTTAAAAAGAAATAAAATAGTTTATCCATTTCTTCCTCCATTTTACTACGTATTTCTGCTATTGGGTTTTTATTGTTTCTTTGCTTTTCATGTTTGAAGTTTGTTTTTGTGAAAGACAGGAACAAAAATTAAATGATGAGCCATTGCTTTTCATATTTTACTAGAAACTAGAAATTAAGAATATTACCATAATTGAAATTTTAAAAACACCTGTAAAAGGCAAACCTCAATTTATTGCTATTTGATTCAATAGACAAAAGTAACACAATTCTATATTTTATCTTTTCATTGCTGTATCTGTGTACCACTCTCAGGTGCAAAGGGCTACCTTCCACTCATTTTTCATATATCTTTGAGGTTCTTTTTGAGATATTTATCTTTTTTACCTTTAGAATTTAGAAATTTCTTTAATGGGTGTTCTGATTGAAAAACAGTTTCACTTGTCAAAAGTTATCTTTATTTTTTTAAGATTTTATTTTATTATAATTTTTTTAAGTTTATTTTTTGAGAGGGAAAGAGAATCCCCAAGCAGGCTCTGCTTTGTCAATGCAGACCCTGGCGTGGGGTTCAAATTCACCAACTGTGAGATCATGACCTGAGCTGAAACCAAAGAGCCAGCCACTTAACTGACTGAACCACCCAGTTAGTTACCCCAAAAGATTTCATTTTTTTAAGTAATCTCTATACCAGCACGGGTCTTGAACTCACAACTGTGAGATCAAGAGTAGCATACTCTACTGACTGAGCCAGCCAGCTACCCCCAAAGTTATCTTTATTTCAATCAGATTCTTACACAAAATTTGTATTCAATAGAGAATTATTTTCCTTTGGCACCCTGTAAATATGTTTCCACCATCTATCTGAGAATTCACCTGTTTAGTTTTTATTAAGGGCCAAGAGCATGTATTTTTTACTTAAAAGGATATTAACTAATATAATTATTTTCTTGTGTTTCTCCTGTAGGGAATACAGTGAGTAACCTGATTATGATTATACCTCCAATTTTTGGTGCAATTCAGAGTGTTAGAGATGGACTGGAAAAGCGGTACATTGCTTCTTATTTAGCACTCACAGGTATGTGTAACACTTCATATGAAAAATGATGTACAATATTCAGATGGGCTGTTTTTCTTATTCATACCTAAATTGGTTCTTAATTTTATGTTATTACACAAATTGAACATGTTCTAAAACTTCTATTTAAAACTCCAGTAAATTGAACTGCATTTTTTAAACCCAACTTCATTTTTTTAAGTTTATTTATTTATTTTGAGAGAGAGATGGAGTGCAAGCAGGGGAGGGATGGAGAGAAGGAGACAGAATCCTAAGCAGGCTCCATGCCATCAGCACAGAACCTGACACGGGGCTTGAACCTATGAGATCATGACCTGAGCTAAAATCAAGAGTTGGATGCTTAACCAGCTGAACCACCCAGGTGCCCCAAAATTGAACTGCATTTTGAATAGCTTTTTAAAAATTAAAATATTTCAAGCCTACAGAATAGAGATAACAAATATACCCATGATATCTTACTATCCAGCTTTGTCAGATCTTAGTAATTTGCAATAATTGTTTCAGACCTTTTTCTTTATTAAATAAACTGTCATGGATGAGATTGAAGCTATATTCATAGTCCTGCCTGATTTTATTCCCAGAGTTAACCTCTATACTTAATTTCATTATCATTTTCTCACATGTTTTTGTATTTATACTACTATATATGTGTGTGTATATATATATATATACTTAAAAGTATATAGAGTATGGTTTGCATGTTTTCAAACTTTTTGTAAAGAGTATTGTACTGTATCTGATCTTCTGCAACTTACTCATATTCTTCTACTTGTGTGTGAGTCAGGGACTGTGTCTTAGTTATCTTTGTATCCCTATTGACTAGCAATTTAGTGGTCCTCAATAAGTATTGAATGGATGGAAAAGTGAACTTTACCAGAGTGTAAGATCAGAAAATCTGTCATTTTCTTGCATTATCATCATAAAGACAAAAATAAGAAAGTTTATTTTATTTAGTTTATTTCTTTTATATAACCTTCTAAACAAAATTTCTTTTATTTTAGCCCAAAGTAGGTATTTTTACATGTAGGCAGAAAGGACTTCTAATTACTGCAAAAACTCCTATCCTAGGAGATTTTACCATTATTAGACTAGTCGTATATGAGAGACTTTAATTTCTGAATCTGTTTCTTATATGCATGATGTTTAAGAAAGTTACTTCAAAAGGAAGACTTGTCCGCAAACTTAACTCTTTGCTTTGTTTCCTGCGATGTTTTAAAAATGTTTATAAAATATGGGATGCCTGGTTGGTTAACCCAGTTGGTTAGGCATCTGACTCTTGATTCTGGCTCAGGTCATGATCTCATGGTTTGTGAGATCAAACCCACATAGGCTGTCAACATGGAGACTGCTTGGGATTCTCTCTCTGCCCTTCCTTCATTCATGCACACATGCTCTCTCTCTTGAAATAAACAAACTTAAAAAAAAAAAAAGAGAATGTTGGGGTGCCTGGGTGGCTCAGTCTGTTAAGTGTCTGACTTCAGCTCAGGTCACAATCTCAGTTTGTGGTTTTGAGCCCCACATCAGGCTCTGTGCTGACAGCTCAGAGCCTGGAGCCTGCTTTAGATTCTGTGTCTCCCTCTCTCTCTGACCCGCCTCTGCTTGCACTGTCTGTCTCTCTCCAAAATAAATATTTAAAAAAGAAAAAAAGAACATTTATAAAATACTGACAAATAAGAGTCAGTAATAACAATAAGAATAAAAAGACTGAAAGGACTTCCAGGTTCCCTGGGATAATGATGTCTTCCTAAATTAGAGTTTGTATACTCATCCTCCCAGAAGACCATACAGATTAAGAAAGAAAATAAAACCATACTTAATCAGCACTTTCAACTCTACTATGAGAAAACAAATACTATTGAAATTGAAATCATTTTTAAATAAGAATAAACACCAAATTCCAACAGAAGTATCTTTGATGTTGTAGACTTGGGGTTTGAAAAACTGCATGGAAAAGAGGTGAGGGGTTGAAAGCCCAAGTATGAAAACAAAACAAAACAAAAAATAGAAAGAGAAAGCATTACAGTAAATGCAGAATTTCTGAAAGCAGTCTAAGGTCTGGTAGATCACAGTACCCATTAAAGGTAAAGGATCTGAAAAGTGTGTAAGACCTAGGGTGGCATTTTTAGAAAGGTACCACTTCTAGTAAAAAGATAAATAGAAAAGGGGAGGGTTCAGTGAAGGGAAAGAAGGAAGCTAGAGGGAGGAATTAAAATCCTATAGGAACAAAAGAACTACTAAACACATCAGATCCCTCCCCTCCAGTCCCCTACTCCCCAAGTAAGCATATGAAGAAGGACACTGAACCTCACTATTCTGACAGAAGAGGGCAGTCTTGAACTAGGAATTTTTTTAAGCCACCCAAATCTTTACTCTTTCCACAAAATGGACCAAAAGAAGCAGTCCAAACAAAATTATTGTAAAAAGAAAACAGAAAAAGAAGATCAAAAAGTTTTTGGCTCATGTATATTCTTCCCCCACAACTAATTACAAAGCAAAAAGAAGCTGTAGCATAAAACTCCAAAATGAATTAAGTAGCCTCAAACAAAGAAAAGAATCAAAAATTTAAAAACTAGTAACATTCCCTTCTCCCAAAAGAGAGAAAATTAGAACTGATTAAACTTAGGAAAGATATTAAAGCTGAATTACAGTGTGTTGAATATTTAATAAGGGCTATTTAAGAAGGCCAAGAAATAAGCAGAAGAATGAAAATGAGTTAAAGAAAAAGTGTCAGAGAGAAAGTGATTGAAATGGAAGAGACTCAGCAAAGATCTCAAACATATAATTGGATTCCCTGGAGAAGAAAAACAAAACAGTGAGATAGATCTTATATTTAAAACTATAACTCAAGCAACTTTTTAGAAATGAAAAAACAAGGAAAGAAATCTGCATGTTGAAAGGTCCATTTTTGCCTCTTAAAACTGACTTGGAACGGTTAATTCTAAAACATAGCCTAGTAAAACAACTGGATTTTAATAATGAAAAAAATCCTTAAAACTCTAGTGAAAAAGACCAGGTTACTGAGTCGGGCAAATAAATTATGCTGGCGTTTGACCTCATCAGCAACATACAAAGAAAGGCACCAGTGGAACAGCATTTTTCGTGTAAGGCATGGATTTTATGTTCAGGTTGGTTTTTTAGCTCTCCAGGTTATAGAAAGATAATTTTACATATGCAAGTACTCTCACCTCTATACAGGACTCCTTCTTGATGAATCCGTGAGTACTGCACAAATTTAGTAGCTATTATCCACAAGTGGCAATTTAAATTAATTAAAATTAAATAAAATGTAAAACTCTGTTCCTCTGTCACACTAGCCAAATTTTGAATGCTCAATATATATGTGGCTTGTGGCTACCCTGTCGGGCAATGCAGATACAGACTATCTGTCATCACAGAATGTTCTGCTGACTGCATTGTACTGGAGAATGATGCTCATCCAACTAGGGGAACCCTTTGGGGAAATGTCTAATGATGAGCCTTTAATATATTTAGGTATAGATCTAAGGCTAAAATAGGTAGGCTAGGGTGAAAGGATAATATATGGACATTATATGGTCTAATAAGTAGAAAAAATGCAGTTTTTGTTTTAGTTTATTAATTTATTTATTTATTTTGAGAGAGAGAGTGGGCGCAGAGGAGGGGCAGAGAGATGGGGAGAGAGAGGGGGAAAAGGGGTCGAACTCAGAAACTAACTAGGCTAACTAATTATTATAAATAGCCTTATGTCCAGTCAGGGCAGGTTTTACTGTCAAATCAATTTGTGCCAAACTTAAACAACAAAACAACTTTTGGTTTTAAAAACTTTTTTTTTGAGTTATTAAACAAGATATTTAAATTTATTTGACTGTTTTCTTATTTTATTATTGAAATTTTTTTTCAATGTTTTTTATTTTTGAGAGAGAGGAGCCACAGAGTCTGAAGCAGGCTTCAGGCTCTGATCTGTCAGCACAGAGCCCGATGTGGGGCTTGAACTTATGAACAGTAAGATTGTGACCTGAGCTGAAGTCAGACACTTAACCAACAGAGCCACCCAGGCACCCCTCTATTTTCTTATTTTAAAAAGTAGTAGATAATAAATAGAATCCGGCCCTGTCTTAGGAAAATAATAACCCATTACAACTGAGTTTGTTACCTAGAGTCCAGGATCATTGAAATTTAGAGGAGATTCACTAATACAATTTATTATAATAGCAGATTCAAAAAGAAAAACCATGTGATCATCTTCATAAATGCTGAAAAAACCTTTGTCAAAATTCAGTACTCATTTCTGATTAGAAAGAAAACTCAAGAAAATAAGAATTGATGGATACTGTCTTGACATGGTAATATACACACCTCTGTCCTAAAGTCAGTGTTTTTACTCAGTGTGGAAGCACTAGAAGCACTAGAGATATTAATCAGTGTACTTTTACTGGAGAAAATGATTAAGGGCGTAAGAATTGGGAAAGAAAACTATCTCTGTTTACAAACAGCATAGTATTTCTGAAAACTCTCACCTAGAGAATCAATTATCAAGCTAACTCAAATAACGCAACTATTTGGTGAGGTATCAGGTTTAAAATTATAAAAAGCAGTAGCCATAGGGCACCTGGGTGGCTCAGTTGGTTGAGCATCTGACTCATGATTTCAGCTCAGGTCATGATCCCAGGGTTGTGGGATTGCTTCTCTCTGTCTGCCCCTCTCCCCTCACTCATGTGCTCTCTCCATATTAAAAAGAAAAAAAAAAAGGGCAATACCTTCATATATACAAACTTTATCCTATTAGGTATAATAGTAAAGAAGACCCCATTTAAAATATCCCCCAAAATAAAGTATCTAGAATAAAGTAAATAAGAAATAATGTACAATCTGTGTGTAAAAATTTTAAACCACTTTTGATGCCATGAGAGTAAATCTGAATAAACAAAAAGTTGTTTCTGGATAGACAACTTAAAGATGTCTGTTATGTCTAGATTAATTTATTGAAATAAATAATATTAATAGAAATACTGGTAAGTTGT